TCAAATCCAGTTTGTAAATGAGATTGCCTCCTCTATAATGATGATCAATATCCAGTAGTAACTCCCATGCCTGCCTTTGATAAATGCAGTCTGGTTGGGTTTTATTAAATAATTTAAATGGGGTTGTAACCTTTCCACAATGATTTTACTAATGAGTTTGTTGAATGCAGAAGTCAGACTAATAGGTCTGTACTGATTCCAGTTGAGGCAACAGTAGTTTTGGGGATGAGGACATAGTTGGAGGAAGCAAAGTAGTTGGGGAGAGGGGTACCATTGAAGAAGCTTTGGACAACATTGATGACATCTGCCTTGATAATGGACCGGGATGATAATGGACCAGGATTTTTTGTAAAAAGCAGCTATATATCCATCAGGACCAACAACTTCGGAGTTATCAATAGTATTAAGGGCCTCCCAGATTTCAGACTCAGTAGGAGTGGATGAGAGTTGAAGTTCATGTGTATAAATGAGTTCTTCCTGGAAGAATTGAGGATCCACAGGTGTAGCAGTTAAATGAGGTGTAGTGAGGAGATTTTGAAAGTAATCAACAACATTTTTAGCAATATCCTCATAATTGTTGATCCAACAACCTTGGGCATCTTGAATCTTGTGAATGTTATTACATTTCCTTTTGTACTTGATACAAGCATGGTAATATTTAGTATTCCTGTCCCCTCCCATAAGTCTATTGATTGCAGCCTTCTATTTAAGGAACATTTCCAATCTTTCAGTGGCCAAAAGAACCTTTTCAGCATTTTCCAGCAATGCAGCTTCACTAGCATTACCATTCCCAATTTCAGCTTCCAGGGATTCCAAATTTTTCTCAGCCTTCTCCACTGCTTCATAGACATTTCCAAAGCAGTGCCAATTCCATTGCTTAAGATAGGAGGCCATCTTTTTCTGCAATTGCCACAAAATAATAAAAGAATTGAATTGCTGTGACAACTTATAGTGCTCTTTAATTAAATTTAGAAATTGATGGTGGTCAGTCCACATAATTTGAAATCTGAAAGAGTTATGGCTTGTAGGTGGGCTGACATTAATGGAAATGAGCAAAGGTCTGTCATCAGACCCTACTAGGGGTAAGTGATGTACAAAGGAATTTAAAAATTCCTGAAATCATTGATCTTTGGCTAGAAATCTATCCAATCTTTCCCAAATTTGTCCTCTTTCCAGGTGAAGTAGTCACCTTTGAAACCAAGATCAAAGAGTTTAGTAGCTTTGATGTTATCACAAAATTGTGTCATCTTATGGAGGTTAGGATCTCTTCCCCCTCTTTTTTAAGAGCTTTCAACAACACAATTGAAATCTCCTCCCACTAACCAAGGGGAGGTTATGTTATTACCAATGTAGATAAGTTCTTTCCAAAGATCTGTTCTATCATTTTTGTTACACCCAGCATTGATCACAGTGATGAGACCAGATTTTCCAGCAGCATCAATCTTGAAGTGCACAAACTGAGGGTGGTCCAAGAGTATGGACCAAGTAATTTATTTTCTGAGAAGGATCCAGATTTTATTGTTACAGTTGTAGTGATGGGAAAAACCATGGAATTGGTTAAGGATTTTTTGAGGATATTTATGAACCATAGGTTCAAGGATGGCAATGCACCATAATTTGTGTTTTCTATGGAGAAGGAGGAGCCTTTTTAAGGAGAGTGGGTGAGCCACTCCCCTTATATTCCAGCAGAGTAAA